TTTAAACTAAGGTCACATGGACACCAAGATGAAAAGCTGCTTGTAGGAATCATCAGTCATGTTTGTTTCAAATGCAGCCAGGGCTACCAGTTCAACTTGTTCAACTGATAAGCTAGGGCCTTCCCAGTAGGTGCTCGAGGACCTACACATGGCAATCAACTTCATGAAATTCAAAGTAAAAGGAAAAATGAGATAATTTACCTAAGAACAAAGCAAAACAAAATAAAAAAGTCTGCTGCAGGTGTACCAGACCACTGATGTCTCACTTCACCTATAACACAGGCAGGGATAAACTTGCAGTTTGCTTCATCCATGTCCTCACCTAAGTATTTACTTTTGTGAGATAAGATAACAAATAAAATTGCTATAAACTTATTAATAATTCCTTCAAAAATAAAGTGATAAAGCTAAAATTCCTTTTTGCTGTTTTTAGATTTTTATTACAGATATTAAAAATCCCGGAGTTCTTTCCATAAAAACACATTTCTCTCATTATAGCCATAGTAAGAATACATACTCTAATCTTCAAAGGTGTGGAGACAAACCCAAATACAATTCAACTGAGGTCTATGAAACTGGCAGCAATGAGCTTACACTGACCTGTTCAGTGCCGTGTGCCAAGCCAAGGACTTCAAGGTAACCCTACACGGGCCAGTGCCACTCTTTAAAGACAGTCTGTCATTCAGAAGATAAAAACTCATCCTAGTGACAGCAGCCCTGACCTCCCTGTGGGCTGCAGCCTGAACAATGGAATGGAGGCAATCCTGCAGCCCACTGGCTGTGTGTGTTATCTTCAGGGTAAGGGTGTCCTCTGTGGATAACTTTAATGTACCTAAAAATCTTCAAAAAGAGAGAGAGAGCAACATAAAGCTCCTTAAACAAAAGCTCACATGTGTTTTTATCATATGATAAACTCTCTCCAAAACATGTGGCTTATCTTCAGTTTCTTTTAATTAAAGGTTGACTCACAGCAGATCAAAAACTGGTGTACATCTTTAATATTAGAGCTTTTTACTAGTGTCCCATGTGGACTTGTTCCTACTTACAGAAATATATTTTTATTCATATAAGAACGTGCAGACAGACTAAAATTTTGTTTAAGAAATTCTAGATATTCCAAAGTAATTATCTTTATCACAGTAATGATAACAATATTATACATAATACTTACTGAGCTTTTACTCTAATCTAGTATACTTTGCCTAGTGATTTACATTGATTAACTGGCCAAACTTTATATAATCTGTAAAACAGTATACAATACAATGCTTTTTAATTTAAATTTCCTTGTTTGATTCATTTTTTACAGTAATAAAAACATGTAATCTTTAACACAAAGTAAAAAATTATAATCTTCAGTTAAAAAGCAGAATCCAATAATAAAACAAGTGCAAGAATGATTTAACCTAAAGAAAAGGCAAAGTCTACCTAATTAATTAAATGTGAATGCTCTTTCAACTAAGCATAATATCTTACTCTTGGATTTTAGTTTCCGAGTTCATTTGCTTCAACAGGTTGTCAATCCCATGATACCACGACAGGTTCCAAGCCACTCTTAACATATTTGACACTGGCTTCAAGGCCAAACAGTCAGCAGATAAAGGCAAGACTATGGAGTAAGGACTCACAGCATGATGGCCATGGACATGTACTGGAAGATGATACCTAAGAAAATGGATACAAATAATTACAGACTTTCAAAGTCTAGGGTGAAGGGCATGCAGGTGTTAATTCTACAGATTTGGACAGTATAAAATTAATAACTGGTGATGTAAGTATGATGGGGGCAAAGGAGGAAGGCTTACTGAAATCACCAAAACATCATTATAAATTTTGCATAAAAACATTAGAAATTATGTGATTTAAATGCTAAATGAAAATTGTGACAAATTATAGATTTTGATTATCTTTTCCGTAATGATATTTTATCCTTCAAGAAAATCAGAGAAATATATACTTTACCTTCTAATAACTGAAAGAGGCAAACTGAAGATTGATGGCAAAGAAGGTTTATTGGAAGGATTAACAGACCTATTTCATAAGAGAGAAACAAAAGGAAAGAAACAGCTGAGTAGACCACACTTCTGTCTAACAAAACAAGTCGCTTCAGTTCCTTGACAAACTCAAACCAAGAGGTGCAAGTGGTTTTATCATTTAGTATACTTACAGCACAGTCTGCTACTACTTGGATTTGCTTACGAAAAGTAGAGTATGCCTTTTTAAAAATGAGTCTCTATAATAAGTGTTTCCTGTAATGTGGCCATTGCAGTGGCAGGTGAAGTCTGTGTGACCTTCTCCCACTAAGCCTGCTCAAGATCTATGTTAATTAGATATTATGATCCTAAATATCTTCCCAAAGATGCTTACTTTTTATAAGAATAATCAAATATTAAAAGAAAAGCACATAAAATCAAGGATATATATTAAAAATTTATTAAAAACAAAACACTAGTAATTTTTTAATTTGTACTTAGTAGTGTTCAGAATTTCAGGGTGACCTTCTGAGCAAATGGGTTTTTTAATACTGCTTACTCAAACCAAAAAGCATACCATGTAAGTCTAGCATGGAAAGCATAATCGGCCTCATTAAGTCAGAAATTTCCATGCACTGCTATACGACTGCATCAGTAACCTTAGATAAATATTTTTTAAAAGACTTTTAAAATTCTCATAGCTCACCATATGTCCATTCTTGATACTTCATCAAATAATAGAAGACAAAACAATGCTCCTACTTCCATCACAACAGCACAATCTTCGTGGAATATCAAGGAAACTGAGGAATATAAAGAAGCATACCTTTAGGAAATATTTTTCTTTTAAAAAGAACAGACCTTAAATTGAAAATCTCTGAACTTTCTGAAACTACTGCACTGAGATAATCTTTTAAAAACTTTAAACCAAAAGTATTCCTGATGTCTTCTTAAAACTAAACAATAGTGAGAAACAGTCCAAGATGATGGCTTAGTCAGACACATCATGCCGTACCCCTGCAACAAAGACCTGAGAAACCAAGTGAAACAGATAAAGATGACAATCCTGGAATCCTGAGCACCAAAGGGAATGATGAAGAACTAGATACAAGACCATTTGGAGGAAGAAACTGAACAAAAACAGTGAACAAGGACCGTTATAGCTCAGAGATGCCCTGCCAGCCAGACCACAGCAGCATGGCTATCTTGAGACAAAGCGAGTAGTGATCCCAGATGAGGAGCACAGGAAGGAAACTTCACGGAATTCCCAACAGGAAACAGAGAAACTGTACAGACAAACCCAGAGTGAAGCAAGGTGAGCAGGACAGGAACCAGATCTAAGAAGGAAAGTACAGGAAAGCAGGAGAGAGCTCCAGGGATGCTGGCGACCACAGAGCAGTGAAGGAGCCAGGAACCAGAGACAAGACCACTCACCAGCGACAGTACCCAACCATTAGGGTGGGTGGCACACACGGAGTAGTAGATCCACAGAGTGTCAGCAGGAGGTCCCCTACCCAACCAGACTCCATGCAGCCCCATCCCTTCTCATACTTGATTGGGGTTGGTCAGGTCCCAATTCCTGGCTGCAGCCTACACAGAGTGCCCCAGCACCCACACCCAGTGATCAGAGGAGCACGTGCACCCTCCCTCCTGCCCTCCTGGTGACAAACGGCATGAACCACCCCCACCGTGGCCACCCTGTCCACCAAGGAACCGCAGTAAGAGCCCTCCTCCTCCTCTAAACAGCCCTGCCCCACCCGAAACTGGCAATGCACATCCAACCCCACCTGCCACCCCCCTGCTGC